TTTACCTAAGAAAACCTAGAATTTAATATGATCTCTTGAAAGGATGGATTTTTGAAAGTTTTCTTGTAGTAGTGAGTTTTCTGGTGGGTTGGGAACATTCTCTTATGGTCATAGTCTTTAAGTGTGTGGCAAAAATGGTAGACTAAAATCCATTAAGAATTATGTATGTTTATCTTCCAACATAGCCTCCACCTGAAGATAAGATTTGGTGAAATAAAATTTTTATTCAACACATATGACATCCGCAAATACATAAAATTTTAGATGGTTAGATGATAATATTTGTACTCCTTTGTAGGAGTACTCCATAAATACACATTTTATAATCCTCGAGGATCAAATTTTCCTCTTTGGTGAGAATGAAAATGTAGAAAAGCAACACATCCAAATAACCAATGGACAAGATGGATTATGATATTTATTGCTAAGTGAAACTGTTAAAGTGTTTCGAGAGAACTTTTAAACTCAAGAACACTTATATACAGATGATTAATAACGCAGGTAGCAGTAAGGACAGTTTTGCTCCAATATTATTTTAGAACATTATTTTAGAAAAGAAAAGTTATAGTAGTGGTTAAGAGGTGATTATTCTTACATTCTACTATTCGATTATATTGTGAAGTATGGACGCATGATGATTCATAAAGAATTCTTTCCTGATAGAAGAATGAGAAAATGCATAGTCAAAAAAAATTTTAGTATTGTTGGTAAAAGATTTTTTATGAGTGATCCAAATTGAGTTTTTATTATATTGCAGAACTAGGATAATATGACTAATATTATATTTGGTTTTTTTATAAAAACAATTAGGTGATTCTAAGTCAATCGTCAACAAATGACACAAACCATCGAGTCCAAAAAATATTATGTTTGTGAGTTGATTCAAAAATATCAATGTAAATTTAATAAAGACGAAACTAAACTTCATTTATTACTAATAGGAAATATCACACACTCATACTTTTACAAACTCACAGTTAATAACGCAGGTGGCAGTAAGGACAATTTTGCTCCAATATTATTTTAGAAAAGAAAAGTTATGGTAGTGGTTAAGAGGTGATTATTCTTAAATTCTACTATTCGATTATATTGTGAAGTATGGACGCATGATGATTCATAAAGAATTCTGTCCTGATAGAAGAATGAGAAAATGCGTGATCAAAAAAATTTTTAGATTGTTGGTAAAAGTTTTTTCATGAGTGATCCAAATTGAGTTTTTATTATATTGCAGAACTAGGATAATATGACTAATATTATATTTGGTTTTTTTATAAAAACAATTAGGTAATTTTAAGGCAATCGTCAACAAATGACACAAACCATCGAGTCCAAAAGATATTAGGTTTGTGAGTTGGTTCAAAAATATCAATGTAAATTTAATAAAGACGAAACTAAATTTCATTTATTACTAATAAAATATCACACGCTCATACTTTTACAAACTCACAGTTAATAACGCAGGTGGCAGTAAGGACAATTTTGCTCTAACATTATTTTAGAACATTATTTTAGAAAAAAAAAGTTATGGTAGTGGTTAAGAGGTGATTATTCTTACATTCTACTATTCGATTATATTGTGAAGTATGGACGTATAATGATTCATAAAAAATTCTTTCCTGATAGAAGAATGAGAAAATGCGTGATCAAAAAAAATTTTAGCATTGTTGGTAAAATATTTTTTATGAGTGATCCAAATTGAGTTTTTATTATATTGTAGAACTAGGATATATGACTAATATCATATTTAGTTTTTTTATAAGAAGAATTAGGTGATTCTAAAGCAATCGTCAACAAATGACACAAACCATCGAACCTAAAAAATATTAGGTGTGTGAGTTGGTTCAAAAATATCAATGTGAATTTAATAAAGACGAAACTAAATTTCATTTATTACTAATAAGAAATATCACACGCTCATATTTTTACAAACTCAGTTATCATAGTATAAATTTTCATATTCTGAATTTTTAAATAATGAAGAAAACATATCCTTTAAAATAGAAAAAGACAGATGCCCAAACCTTTTATAGTGAAGTTAAATCTTGTGTGAGGAGTTGGTAGCAATAGCAAAGAAGGATCCCCAAGTACATCTAAGTAGTATAGTTCATTTATATATTCATCACATCTAATTATCTTCTCCAAATTTTGATTTTAAAAGTTACAACGACAATAGTTAAATAGTACTTTGCAGTTGAAGTCTTGTAATAATTTTTTGACAAAAAAAACTAGTACACAATTGGGAGATATATAATACACTTTGCCTGCAATAGTATTGAAGGAATCATCTACAATGACAAATTTTTATAATAGGTACCTGGAGGACATGTATGAAAATATTTAGAAGTATTGGTCATATTATCTGTGATTTCTGAGTCTATAGTTTGAGAATTTTTAAAGGATTTCTCCGAGGCACTTAGTTCATGTAAGGTAAAAGCCGTACCTGAGTGTGCCATATTTGTTTGATGAGAAATGAAAAAAGAAAAAAAACAAAGATACTATTGGAACCATTTGTATCCCTTATTCATAGAAAAGGAGAGGTTGATGTATTTTTTTTGAATCTGTCGGGACTGACTGCAGCTTCCCCTTGGCAGGACAGTGCTCTGACCAATTGAACTACAATCCCAGGAAAATAAAGTGTACGACATATATTTTTATAATTTCATTTAAATCATTTCTATTTTGATTTTATATTAGAATTCCCATGTTGTACCAAACAGAGGCGTGACTGATAAATTAGTACATACTTGTTTCTTAAAGGACTCAAAACTTGGTCTTTCAATCTCCAATTTGAATTTACTAAGATATGATGTTGCTATGTTGGGATTTACTCTAGTAACTTAGGATTTTACCTCCGAATCTTTTAAAAAAGAATTATTGGAAGAATCTTATCTCCACATGTGGCTGCATGAGGAGGGAATCTGCAGGTTGCAACTAACTAAGCTGTGCACTGACTCATTGAGTCATATCCCTGAATCAACTTGGAATAGGAACTCACAAAATCAACTCAATGAGTCAACTCAGCGTGTAGCAGGAGCGGCGGACCGTTTGTTTGTGCCTGCTATTCGTCGCATCCATTAATGCGGCTCATCTAGTCACTTTAAAGCTCCTAGCCAAAAGCAGCCGGTAATGGAGCTCTCGTTCAGAGGAAGTCACTTGCATCTAGTCGCGATGAAGGCGACCAAGAGAACTTTGTGCCAATGGTGGAGAGTTGCACATTGCTGGGGATCGTGTCTGCTGCATGGCTGATGGAGCTGTGTGCGTTACGTTTGTGCAATCGAGAGAGACTGAGTGGTGCCATGGCTAGGTTTGTGACCTAACATTGCGGCTGCATCTAGATGTGCAGCTAAGA